AAAAGAAAATTTGAGCAGTTTTCTTATTCAAGTTCAAAATAGGTCGTAAAGCAATGGAGACAACTTGCCACATCAATGATGCATTTGGCCCAGGAACTCCTAATGAACATACAGTGCAGTGGTGGTTCAAGACATTTTAAAAAACAGATGGGAGCCTTGAAGATGAGAAACACAATGGCCCAGCCATTGGAAGTTCACAGTGACCAACTGAGAGCAATTACCAAAGCTGATCCTCTTACAACTACACGAGAAGTTGCTGGAGAATTCAGTGTTGACCATTCTGTGGTCATTCAGCATTTGAAGCAAATTGCAAAGGTGAAGAAACTCAATAAGAGGGTGCCAAAGTGTTGTCTTCTCTTATCCTATGTAACAGCAGTGAACTATCTCAATCAGATTGTGGCATGCAATCAAAAGTGGATTTTATACAAAAGCTGATGATGGCTGGTTGAACAGAGAAGATCCAAAGCACTTTTCAAAGCCAAACTGCACCAAGAAAAGGTTATGGTCACTGGTGGTTTGCTGCTGATCTGATCCACTACAGCTTTCTGAATCCTGGCAAAAACATTACATCAGAGAAGTATGCTCAGCAAATCGATGAGATGTACTGAAAACTGCAACACCTGCAGCTGGCATTGATCAACAGAAAGCGCCCAGTTCTTCTCCATGACAACACCTGACCAAACATCGCACAATCAATGCTTCAAAAGTTGAACAAATTGGGCTATGAAATTTTGCCTCATCTGCCATATTCACCTGACCTCTTGCCAACTGACTACCATTTCTTCAAGCATCTTGATAACTTTTTGCAGGGAAAATGTTTCAACAACCAGCAGGAGGTAGAAAATGCTTTCTAAGAGTTTGTCAAATCCCAAAGCATGTATTTTTATGCTACAGGAGCAAACTTATTTCTTGTTGGCAAAAATGTGTTGATTGAATGGTTCCTGTTTTGATTAATAAGGATGTGTTTGAGCCTAGTTATAATTTAAAATTCATGGTCGAAAACTGCAATTACTTTTGCTCCAGCCTAGTAATTCTGATGGAAGAGCAGACCAGGTGGCATAGTGAATACACTTCTCACTGGAGCTACCTTCTATCTTTAAAAATCAAATTTTTAAGGTATAACAGCTTAGAAAATGCAATTATGCAAGTTATAAATGAAAATTAATTATTACCTATTTGGGATTAAGATCTTAAAATAACATCATAAATCAGACAATAGCTGTGTAAAAAGGACGTGTTTAGACCAAATTTTTGTTTAAAAATTTCAAACTGTATCACATATAACAAGTATAGAAATAGCTATTGGACTGATAATACCTTAGGGAATTATGTATGTATGTGCATAACATTTTATTTTCTTTTATTTATTTTTTCACTTAGCCCTTCAACAGTCATGAGTTAGGACAAATTTATTTTTTCTTCATATGACAGAAGTAACATGGTACAGTAATTACAAGCTTCATTTCATATTCTGTCATGGGCATATACTAATTAAATTATCTTAGCAAACTTACTTAATCTCTCTGAATATAAGCATTCTCATAAGTAATATAAATATCACCTTAAAATGAGATTTAAGTGAGATTGTACTGCACTTAGTTTAGTCTGTGTTAAATATTAGCCTAGCTGTTTGTATTTTGTTCCATGCAGGTACATAGTAGGTGCTTAATAAATGGTGTATATCATAATCAGAGTTAGACAGAGGGAACCACCTGACTGGTAGTTTTGTTAATTTTTTAAGATATAATAACTTTACTGAGCTATAATTCACATATCATAAAATGTATGCTTTTAAAAGGTACAGCTCAGTCTTGTTGTTTTTAGTATATTCACAGAGTTATGCATCCATTACTGAAAGACTAGGTATAATTGTGTCTAATTGTGGAACATTTTCATCACACTGAGAAAAAGCCCCATACCTATTAGCAGTCACTCCCTATTCACGTTCTCCCCAGCCGCTGGCAACAGCTAATCTCCTTTGTGTCTCTGTAGATTTGCCAGTCCTGGGTATAGAATCATGTAATACATGGTCTTTTGTGGGTGGCTTCTTATCATAATGTTTTAAAGGTTCATTGTTGTAGCAGCAGTTTATTCCTTTTTATTGCCAAGTAATAGCCATTGTATATATATGCCACAATTTGTTTATCCATTTATCAGTTGATGAACTTTTGAGTTGTTTCCACTTTTTGGCTGTTATAATTAATGCTGCCATGAGCATTCATGTATGAGTTTTTGTGCACTGTTTCATTTTTTTTGGATACATATCTAGGATTGGAATTGCTTGTACACTTTTATAATTTTGTGTTTTACATTTTGAAGAACTGCCTACTATTTTACAAAGTGATTGACTCATTTTACATTCCTACCAAATAATATACAAGGGCCCCAATTTCTCCATATAGTTGGTAGCACTTGTTATTATCTCTTATTATAGCCATCCTAATGGTTGTGAAGTGGTATCTCGTTGTTTTGATTGACTTTTTTTTTTTTTTGGATGACAAATCATATTGAGCATTTTTTGTGAGTGCTCTTTGGCCATTTGTATATCTTCTTTAGAGAAATGTTTATCCACGTTCTTTGCCCATTTTTTAAATTGAATTGTTTGGTTTTTTTTGTTGTTGAGTTGTAATATTTCTTCATATTTTCTGGATGTTAAACCCTTACCAGACCCTTAGTATGTTTTCTAAATACTTTCTCCCATTTTGTCGGTTGTCTTTTCACTTTCTTAATAATATCCTTTGATGACAAAAGTTTTAAATTTTGATGAAGTCCAGTTCATCTGTTTTTTGTTGCTTATGTTTTGGATGTCATATCCAAGAATCTATTGTCATAATCCAAGGTCTTGATGATTTACCCCTACATTTTCTTCTAAGAGTTTTATGTTGTTTAACTAGGTTTTTGATCCATCTTAAATTAATATTTGTGTATGGTGTGAGGTGAAGGTCCAGCATCACTCTTTTGCATGTGGATATCCAGTTGTCCGTCTCTGTTGGAGAGACTATTGTGTCCCCATTGATTAGACTTGGCATAGCTCCTATCTGTTTAAAGCTTTTCCACCTCTCTCCAACATAGCCATTCACTACATTCATACTAATCCCTTTACTGTTTCTGAAACCTACAGTGTTTATCTGTTTGCCACCTCATTTTGTCCAGAATCTTTTTTTTCTCCATGTTAAATGTTCTGATTTTTCCTAGTCCGTACCAGACTCAACTTACCTCAGAATGCTTGAATTTGGAGCTATTAATGCCATTCTCATCCTCTTACATTACAGTGTAAGATGAGCAAATTTCTAATCAAGTGGTTCTTAGGCCTCTGTCTCTTCCCTCCTTGTGGCCAGGAATCAGGCCTGATGTTCTCTATTTCCCATAGTGCTTATCCTGAGGAAATAATAAATGAGTGAAATATAGTTGTGCTGTGACATATCAGTAGATTGTCCTTTTTGAGACATAAATTCACTCTCATCTTGTCTACTGAGTAGGGAGCTGCCTCTGCAGGATCTAAAATAGAAAAAAATAAGAATTCAGATCTTTCAGTGTGCTGAGGCCATTAGATACTCAGTAAACTGAGTTGGCATGTTTTTTCCCCTAACCAAGGTATTGTTTGGTATGCTTGGGAATTCCGAGATTGATCTAACAAAAATAATATGGAACATGGAGAGAGAAAGACCCCTCAACCCTTTTGCGGGGAGTGTGGCAGGGGGACTTTCTGTAAGGTTTTTAAAAACTGTGTTCTAAACCAAATTGATGTTTTATTTAAAAGAAGTTGGGCCCTAGCCCATTTTTCATGAAACATGTAGGTCCCACATGAGGCTCGTTTAGCATGTCTTCTGTGTGACTGGCATAAGCTCATGGTCTCTCCGCTGAGGAAACGGGGGGAAGTGGTGCCAGCACTTAATGCTGCCCCTGAGCTAATGCCTGCTGGCTCCATGGTAAACATGGGCCTTTTAATAGGCTGGAGACAAAGTGACATTCGGAAGAAACAACATGTCAACAATTTCCTTAATAAATTTTGTACGAACACATTATTTCCACCTAATGGAAATGTAGCTCTCTTAAATAATTGAGAGGCTATATTCATCAGTGGCGAGTTCAGCTGGGATCTTTGTGAGCTAGGGCAGTCGACAACCCCTTGGAAGCTGAGTAATTGATATTTTACACAAGTGGCTAGGCTAGTTTTCAGGCAGGCCCTGTGTGACATTCTCCTGCAGTCCCCACATGTAGCCCTCCTCTGTGATCCAGGCTGTCACAAAGCCGCTCCACACCGAAAGCTCCAGCTGCAGCCACTGAACCGCCCAGGCCAAGGGTTAGTAATGAATCCTTTCCAAAGTGGGAGCCAGCTTGGTTAGTTTCCTTCACTGGGATTTCTTGCTGTTTGCTGACCAGCTACTGCGTTAGCACAAGGCCTTGATTTTAGTAAAGAGCGATGATGGGTGATGTCCCGCATGCAGCTCATTTTTATGTGCCAGAAGATGGTAACGTGTGCTGAGGAATAACAACTACAGTGTTTGTTACATGAATGATGAATGAATGAACAAACAGTGAGAAAACAAGTACTAGAGAAAGTTGACAGGAGTCGTGACTAAGCAAGACTTTGAAGGTAATGCAGGACTGCAGTGAGGGAAGGAAGAGTGCCAGGAAACACAGAGGTCAAAAATATACACTGTTCTCAACACAGACAAGAGAAATTGGACTTTCTGTTCTCAGTGGTGCCTTTCTGAGATCTGGGGTTGTGTCACAGAGGCTTCCAGGCCATGAGTGGGCTTTTGGCTCTGCCAGCCACATGTCCAGGGTGGGTATAGTTTCCCCCAGGGTGGGAAGAGAGGCTGAGGGAGAACAGGGAGTTCCTCCTGAGGCAGAGGGAGGGGGCAGTTTGTACCTCCTGTACCTCGCTGGTAATTCACATTGTTACTTTTGGCCTCTTTGTACTCCTTATGGAGCTGTGACCTTATCACAGTGAAGACTCAAATTGCTTAATTATTATTTATTTTTTTAATTTGCAGGTTGTTCCTGAAATGACTGAGCTATTGAAGAAGAAATGAGTCATGACCATGTCTTAAGAAGGAAAATTGTATCAAAGTATATTCAGCTGAAATCATAGAAATTCATGGCTAATATAACAATCATTGGAAAGTGTGGAGAGCTATATATCATAATTTGAGGAAAATTTCTAACAGACACCAAATACTTTTTTTATGGGGTTATTATTATTTCTTAATTATTGGTGGTTCTAAACAGTAATTTTTTTTGAAATTTTATAGTTCTGTAATACATAATAAAGCCTTTCCATAACTTTAAAACTATTACCAGAAATATGCCTATCTTTGTAAAGGAAGAGAGAAAATTGAAAAAACAGGAGTGAAAATTATTATTTGTTCTTTGCCTGTGTTGTTCATCGATGGCTCTGTATTTTTATAGCATGAATTTTCCCACCAGTCTAATCAACGTAATCCAGTTGTTGAGACAAGGAAACTAGAGTGGTAAATTTAGAGTTAAAAAAGCATGGCCACAAAGCGTGAATATTATCTTAAATATATTCCAGTCTCTAGAAAATCATAGCTAATGTTGCAAAAGCGGACCAGCCTTAAACATGAACCTACTGAATGTATTTAGTTGACTTAAGTTGATTTAATTTTCCATTTCATTTTAACATCTTGGCAGTTTACAGTTCTTGTTGTCTATAAAGAAGAGGCAAGTTGGAGAAGGAGCTGCATTGAGACAGTGTGGCCTCCTCTGCTAACAGATAGCTCGATACTATTGTAAATGTTAAAAGTCTTGCTCAGCGATGGCTCTGGCTTTTCTTTGGCCCTCCTGGTGGCTCCCTTTGGACTGCCTTAGAAAGCAGCCAGGCATGCACGCTGGCCACATTCGCGGTCGCTCCTGCACTCTGCCAGCTGCCATGGGGCACAGGCTGAGGGTAAGAGCGTCACAGCGGCCAGGCGCTTGTGCGAGTGCAGCCCGAGGAACAGGGGCTGGTGAGGTGTTGGCCAAGACTGCAAGAAGGTGTAGGCAGGGATCTGGGGTCTTAGAAAGGCCAGGAGTCAGCAGGCGAATTGAATGAAGAGAACTGCCATGCTGAAGCTGAGCCACAGAAGGTATAGTTGGTGACAAGAAAAACGGCAGGGAAGAGATGGGAAGTGACTTGTGATACACAAAGGGAGGGAGCAGAGGGCCCAGCCGGGCCCTTAGTGTGGCCAGCCTGGGGCTGATTAGTTGAACCCTTTTTTGATGCGTTATAATCACTTGCTGTGAGACACCCCTTGAAGTTAAATGTCACTGGCATTTCTGCCTTCTTGTAATGAAGTGAGGGGAGCAGCCAAGTAGTGCTCAGTGTTAGAGCTGCAGGACCCTAGCATGCAGAGCTGAGGGCCGGTCCGGCTCGGCCCACTTGTACAGAAAGGGATACTGTGGCACAGAGAGACGTGAAGGAGCTCAAGTGACTTGTCCAGGGCCACAGAATTTGAGTCTCTCTTGCAGAAGTAATGCCTGTATCTTGTTGCTATCTTTGGGGCTCTTGCCAAGGAAGCTAACCTTACTCGGGGCCTTTTCCATTTACTGTTCATCCCTGTGGGATACCATAACTGGGGGGACAGGAGAGAAGCAGAAGTGGAGGCTGCAGAGGTACCCCCAGTGTATACAGGGTGCGCCAGCTCAAGGAGGTCCATCCCAAGGGGTATCTTTGTGTGGTTCTTAGCCTCGGGGTTGAACTGTTTGGTCGTTCTCCCTCCTGTCATGACTGTCCTGCTCCAGCTCCAAGCAGCTGTTCACTTAATATACTGAATACAATTCATCATCGTCATAATAGTATTAAGTAGGGGCTTCCCAGGTAGTTCTGTGGTAAAGAATCCACCTCCCAATGCAGGAGACCTAGGTTCGATCCCTGAGTTGGGAAGAATCCCTAGAGAAGCGAATGGCAACCCACTCCAGTATTCTTGCCTGGAGAATTCCATGGACAGAGGAGCCTGGCTGGCTACAGTCCATGGGGGTCACAAAAAGTCAGACACGACAGAGCGACTGAGCACACACATGGCGCTTACTATATGCCACGTACTAAACCCTTCAGTCCTCACAACAGCCGTAAGATAGGTGCTATTCTTATCCCTGTTTTACAGATGAGGAAGCTGAGGCACAAAGAGGGTATGTAACTTGCGCAATTTCAGACAGCTTACAAACAAGAGCCATGATTTGGAACCAGGAAGTCTGGCTTCAGAGCAGTGGCTTCACCGCTGTGTGCTTCTGCCTCACCTCGGCTGGAGGAACAGGGAGTGGCTGCATGGTACCCTCAGGTAAAGGGCACTCGCTACCTGGTCCCAGGTGGGCGGGGCATGCACTCAGGATCCTAGTGGAGGAAGAGAGTTGGTATCCTGGGCTTGTCTTTCCAGCCGGAATTTGTTCAACTTAGAAGCCCCTCTAAGTGCCCCCTCAAAGTTTACCTTCAAAAGGCAGTTTTGTGAGACTGGGGCAAATTGTTAAAAACTACCATCTATGCCAGAAGGTACAATTTGACATGCCCCCCTTTTTTTTTTTACTTACTTAATGTTCTGTGGGAAACCACGCTGTCAGTTCCAAATGACGGCTCTACATCTTGGCTTGAGGATTGAGCTGTAGCTCTGGAAGCAGTGTGGGCAAAGGTGTTAGGAATAGCTTTCTTTGGGGTTTGTGTGTATGCTTCCTGCTTTTCTCCCCTAAGACCTTTGAGGTCTTAGGTTAATGTCATACAGCCCCCAAGAATTTGGCTAATTTGTCAGAACACAAAGTTCCTGAGAGGGCAGGAGTACGCGTGTAGGAAGGCAGCCATGTAAGGGCAGAGCTGATAGGTTCTTGAGGTCATTTAGGTCAAGCAGACACTGGGAAAGTGAAGGCAAAAGGAGAAGGGGGCGGCAGAGGATGAGATGGTTGGACAGCATCACTGACTCATTGGACATGAATTTGAGCCAACTCTGGGAAAAAGTGAAGGACAGAGGAGCCTGGCATGCTACAGTCCATGGGTTTGCAAAGAGTCAAATGCAACCGAGAGACTGAACAATAAACAACCTCCTTACTGTGGACGGTAAGGGCCCTAGTCTCAGCTCTCTGGTAGTTGAGAAGGTACAGAACCCAGCACTTCCCCTGGTCTCTCAGCAGTACATCGGGGCATATTTCCTTCTAGGCTCCCTGGCTCACCCAGCAGCTGTGCCGTGTGGGACCATGGAGCAAACACCTGGATGTCTGCACTGACGTAGCTTGTGGTCCTGATGGGGAGAGCAGGTTGCTGCTGGGCTCTGAGAATACAGGCTGTTAGAGACATAGCCCCTGCCCTCAAGATCTGCAGCTAGCAGGAAAGATGAGATGAGACCCAAGTGATTAGAAAAGCAGATAGCATGCAGTCAGCATGAACTGCACATACAGGGAGGGCTCCTTCAGGGGGCCAGCTACGGTTATTCCTCAGGGTGTGGAGGTGTTAATATGAACATGAGGGGCAGAAGTAGAACAGATGAGAGCTCACATGCATGCTTGAGGCAGTGACGGGCGGAAACAGAGCGTCAGGAGAGGGGTTGAGGGTGGTAGGTAGTTAAGGCCGGATTGTGGAGGACATTGGCTGGTAGGCTGAGGAGTTCGTTGTTTTTCCTCATGGGTCAGTGGTTCTCAAACTTTGCCCTCAAGGAATACTGCTGTTTCAGGAGCTGGGCCAGAGATGGTACTGATTTGCAGGAAAAATTAATAAAATTTCCCAATCTAAGTCTTCCTTGCATCTTTTTTTCTAAAACTCCAATTGTGCTACATCTGGTCCTACTCTAATCAGGTTCCAAAGGGAATGAACTGGTAACAAATGGATATTTAACTGAGGAGGTCAGCAGCCACTGGCCCTCCACAGCTTTTGTTTAGTGAACGGGTGTTGAATACTTAAAAATGCTCTCTGCTGGTTGTTACTATTCCTTGTCTATGTGTTAGAATTAACCACGTCAGTATATCCAGTATGTTTCACAAAGAGCGGCATGACGTCCTGAGGCCCCGCCACCTAACAGTCTTCGGGAGCACCCTTCTGGCAACAGGGAGATAGATACTATACTAGCCTGTGTTGAGGAAGGCCTGTCACTTGATCTAGAGGAATAACATAAGCTGGCGGAGTGCTCAGGACAGACAGAGAGAGGAAGAAAAGATGGACGCGATTAGGAGGCTGTTGCAGGAATCCTCTGGCTTTATGCCCTGAATGGGTTTGACTGAAAGCTCTTTGGGTACAGAATGGGTCCCCTGAGGCTGTGGAAATGGGTCCAGTGCTGTGGGCGAGGCTGGTAGAGAGAAGGATAGCGTGGGAGCCACGCTGCCGGCAGAGCCTGGGCATGTCTGCACTGGGCTGGGAGGCTTTGAATGCAACCCCAGCCGTAAGCGCTCTCTGTGCTGTCTGTGTGAGAGGGGTAGTCAGTTTGGTTGCATTTCACACCGTCTCTCATGGGGGTGAGAGGGGTTTTTGTTTTTGGTCCATGTAAAAGTGTGCTTAAGAGGCTGGGAAACCCAGAGAACACTATTGATTATAACAGATGGATTTGGTTAGCTGTTGCTAAATGAAAGAAGACTTGACTGATAACCTTGTTAAAAGCCCATTTAGGGTGATATATTGCTCCAATTTGTATAGCCCTAGGGTTTTAAAAATATTTTGTGGGGCACCCACATGAAGAAGAGTTGCTGATAATCCTTGGTTTATAATAGCACTCTCATGTCAGTTACCCGCTCAGAGGTGGGAAGGGTAGGAAACTGAAGAAGTCAGGCTCTCAGGAGGGGTGATCTGCCCCAGGGCACAAAGCAGGTGGTAGAGCTGGACACAAACCATAATTCTAGCAAATATTACTTGTTAAGAACCTACTAGGTGCATTACCTATCCTTCTCTAATACAAAGGTCCCCAAAGTGGGTATCATCACCCCTACTTTCTGGATGAAGAAATGGGCTGAGCAGAGGCAGTCGGTGAGATACAAAACCTGAGCTGACTCCAGGCCTGGAGAGCTTGGCCTTTGCACCATACCAGGCTGCCTCCCCAGCATCTTCTAGCTTCTCTAGGACTCTCCT